CTGAGCGCCCGCGCCGAGCGCGGCCATGGGGAACGGCATGTGCTCCCGCCGGCAGAAGCGCGTGCTGCAGACGCTGCTGCTGCTCACCGCGCTGCTCGGCGCCCTGTACGGCGCGATGCTGCACTACGAGCTGCAGGCGCAGCTGCGCAGGGCCGAGGCGCTGGCGCTCAAGCACCAGCAGCACCAGGAGTCGCTGTCGGCGCAGCTGCAAGGTGGGTCCCGGCGGGCCCGCGTCCTCCGCCGAGAGCTGCCCGCGCGGCCCCGGCTCCGGCGCTTGGTCCCCGGCGGGTTGTCGCTCACCTTCTCCGGCGGCTGTTTCCGGGGAAACGTGCAGCTGTTGCTCGCCCGAGCTTAGGACCCGGCCAGACGGAACTTCGATCCGTTAGTTTTTTGTTGTTGCTGTTTTTTTAAAACTTTTAGTTTAATAGGTGACTTGAGAGACGCTGGGGTGTGGGAGAAGTCCACGCTGTTCAAGCGTTCACTGCCTTTCAGGTTTTTTTGTAAGTTTGTCTTCCTGAGTAGTTTTTAGCTAGTTACACTGTGTGTGTGTGTGTGTGTGTGTGTGTGTGTGTGTGTGTGTGTGTGTTTCACAATGAGTCCTGTGAAGTCAGAGGGAAGAAACACACATTTTTGCCTCACCAGGCGCAGCAAACAGAACTGGAATCAAAACTTACAGAAAGACTTAAAGCTTGTATCCTTTCCACGTTAGCTTCTCCTTGAATGTAAATTTCAGAAACATAAATGACTGGCGAGGTATGCTCCACTTGGTCTTGTTATGAGCATAATACGTATCTCTGTATAAACACACACACACACACACACACACACACACACGGGGGAGAGCGTTCCGCGCTCACCTGTGCTTGTGGTTTCTTTTCCACACTTACGGACCTTACCCCCTTCCCCACCAAAGCAGTGAGTGGTGAAATGCGGACAGTTTTTGCTGATCATGCAAGTGCAGCTTACTTTGTATTTCTGGACAGAAAGGGGTTCCTTCCTCTGTATATGTATACAGACTCAAAACAGATGCCTTTTCTTTGCACGAGGTATCCTGAGTGTTTCCTAGTAAAAATTTAAGATGAGAGAAAATGATCCGCAGCTGATTGCTTGGTCTTACTTGTTCTTCCCAACTTAGAAGAAAGGAAAGTATTTTTAGCTTGCTGAGCCGCAGGCAGTGAAAATAATGTGGCTGGGCTTGGTTCAAAATGAAAGTCTGTTTTGATACACTCTTCCGTTAAAACAAAATTCCTGAAGCATGTTGTTGAAATGTACCCATGAGTTGTATTGGAAGGGTGGCTATGTACTTATTTAGAAGTTAGTTTTAACAGCTTCCTGGTAAATTTTAATGCAATTAGACAAGGGAAAACTTAAACGTGTAGTAGTACAATAGTAGGATTGGATTTTAAAAGTATGGCTGGAAGGGGCGTGCGTAGGGATCCTAGGAGGTTATGTGCCTTCCTTTCTTAGTTTAAGAGACTCGTAGGGGCGGAAACTTCATTTTCATGCTTATATCCTCAGCACTGTGTAAGTGCTACCCAGTGCCTGACAGCAGTGACCGCCAGCACATATTTAATCAAATACAGTAACAAGAAATCTGAGCCACGGTGAGAAAGTTAATTGCAAACACTTTTGTCTGCTTTCTTCGGTTTTATGTCTGTCTTTGCTTCTTGAAAACCCAGCCAAATACTACAGTTTTGCCCAGTAGCTCCATTGCCTGGGTTATTGACGTCCAAGCTGGTTGAGTGGAGCCCTGATTTCTTAATCGTGGACTTTATTTGCAGTGTCCCACTTTGAAAGTCAGTCTTAATTTTCTTACTCCTTAAATTTTTGGTGGTGGTGTTGGGGGGATTATTAAGATGGAAATGCCCTTCTCTAGTTTGAATAGGTGGGCTTCCAGTTCATTTCTCAATTTACTCTAGTCATTTCCTTTTGAATTGTGCTGCAACGTTTTCAGTGTGATTATGTAGGAAGAATTTTTTACAAGCAGGCTGAAGTGTCTTCTCTTCAAAGTGGATTCACTCTCGACTTCTGTAAAATTTACTTTGGGTGTCACATCTGCAGGCCGTTGAGTGATCATTTTCTGATGACATTCAGCTTTTGCTTTTCTTTTCAATGGCAGATGACATTTGATTCAGCAGTGCTGTGTTCTGCCTGCTAGGTGGGTTTCTAGGGCATCAGGTGCTGTATTCTTGAGATTGGTTTAATTAGGTGGGTTCTCTTGACCTGGCTTGGCTTGAGTGGCTTTCTTGTAAAATACGAGTCTGGAAAATATTTAAGCAGTTTGGATGTATAATCTGTTAGCACTGCACACTTGTTAAATAAGCGTATTTAGGTCCTCTTCTATTAAAGAATAGGTTATTCTCTAGAGAGTCCTTTGAAAGTTGGTTATTTTTACCCCAAGTACATTTTGTGGTAGAACAGTCTCGTAAATAGGCAGTGGTGTGGAGGCTGACTTGGAAAAAGTTAAGACTGTACAGCACCCTCGACTGAGAGAAACCTGTCTGTCTGTGCGTCTGCCCACCTGTCTCTCTTCTTCCCTCGCTCCCATTCTAGCACTGTAAGGGTACTGAAGATGGGGCAGGGGTCACGCGCTGGTGGCGGGGGAAATGGATTTGGGCCTGCACAGCGCTTCCTTAACGTTACAAAATGTTTTGCTCTTCTCAAGCCGCTGCTGCGTCCTTCTCTGTGTCTGCAGGCAGCGCGTGTGGGCTGCACTGCCCACCGGGATCACCTGGCTGCTCCCAGACCGCGGCGGGTTAGGCCGCCGCCCACGGGGGTGGGAGCCCCAGGCTCTGGCCCGCTCCAGAGCTCCGCAGGGATCCCAGCGCAAGTTGCAGCCTGGGCCGAGAACACGCCTCCTTGGTCTCGCAGCAGAGACTCCACACACTTCCCCGCCTCGCCTGCCCTGGACGTTTGCATCTTTCCCCGAGCTGCAGTTAAAAGCAGACTTTCTGTACGACGATTCATATTTACTGCTGCATTTTTTGTGTGAATTTGGACCATGTTGTTGTTCTTGGTAACGTGGGGATTAGAGTGACTCACAGGTGTACTGTGAGAACGAAATAAAGTAGAGTTCGTAGCACCCTTAGCACAGACTTGGCACCGCGCGGGAACTGCCGTGGAAGCGGGGCTGCCGTCGGCGCCTCTCGGGTCCGATGGTCCATCTCTTTCTCTTGTGCTTGGTCTGGGTAAAGTTTTGAAACTGACTGAACTTCTGTTTGCAGTCCGTTGCCTCCCTTTTTGTTGTTTCTGAGAGAATATCAGGAATATAGTAAACCCAGTGTGCTTTATCCTGGGGAACAGCACTTCCTTGACGGTGTAATGTGGGATTGAAACGTGGCTATGGATGAGCTCCAGGCGTGTCAGAGGAGGAGAGGAGAGGGACGCAGCTTCTCAGGCAATAACATGTGCAGTGAGGTCTGGAGAAGGAATACTGAGCCTATTTAAGATAGGCATTTAGTGTAGGAGCAAAGGGTCCTGCATTTCCAAAACATGGTATTGTAATTTGTATTGTGATGCTTTTGCCGTTCCAAGTAATAAGGAACTATTGAGAAGGGTTTATGTAATGTAAATATGCAAATGGATGTATTTCACATAACTCTGTTGTACTTATTTATAGTAAAAATGTTTGGTGCATCTAAAAAATAAGTGCCACATTGTTTGTTGTGCTTATATCCTGTTCCTCTGTACATTGAGCCTTTGGCCCACCAGCCTAAGCATGAAGACACATTATAATTGGTTACTTTCTTATTTTCCACATGTCCTATTGAAAAAGAAAAGGTCACAACCAGGCTTCTTTTTTTTTTTAATGCTTTCATCTGTAATGCCTGGTGCCTGCCCTGTAGCAGGTGGTCAGTAGTTCTATACCTATGTTGGAATTTCTCTCTGCCTCTGAATGCACTATTTATGGAAGGCAATAAAGAGAAGTCAGAGTCCTTTGGTTTAATTTCCATTATTCTTTTTACTGGCTCTGTCATCTTGGGCAAATTAGTTAACTTCTTTGTGACTTACTTAATATGTATTAATCGAGATAGTAGTACAATAGTGCATATGATATGTTGCAGAAAGATCAGTAGTATTAGTTAGCATACTGTGCTTAGAACAGTGAAGCTTGCATTTAGACTATTGAGAAAGCTCATGTGCCACAAAGTGGTCCACAGAACTCTGATTTAGACCTCAAAAGTGGACAGTGTGATTTAGACCTCAGATCCTAGTGTACGAGTCATTTGCACCTGCCAAATTAGAACTTATAAGCATCATTTAGACTTTGCCCATGAAATAGACATCTTCAGTGAAGTATATCTTACAGTTAAAAGGGGATAGTTCTCAAGCTTTTGTTGCTTAAAATTATTCTTTAAATTCAGTCTTTTAAGAAATGTAAATGCATTCCCTGATTAAAAGATGAAAGCTTCTAGATGCTTTTTGAAACTCTGACTCAGGACAGCCTTCTGTTAAATGGATGTATGATTTATAGGAGAATCTGCAACCCTACCGCGCATTGCGCCTGCCTCAGTCATTCCTGTAATGGCAGGAGCATGTTTACTCTATAATAAGAATAAATTTGAGCCTGTAAGAGAGTTTTGCATGATTGAGAATGCTTAGTTGAGTTCTAGATAGATTGGAAATCTCATCTTCCCTTTTAAATCTTTTCTGTCTTTGCAAGGTCATCTTTCATAAGGTTGGGATACAAGACCAGGTTTCAGTGGCTGAAGGACTGAGTTGGAGTTAGGGAAATGAAACCTGAAGATGGTGTAGACCAGCATGCAAGGGACTGGACAGAAGAAACCAGAGGACAGGGAGAGAAAAACAGGACTTACATCAGCCAGTACTTTTTGAAGCATTGAGGAGATTTTTCTTTATATCTTCACGTTCTTAAGAGAAAGTGTAGGGAAAAGTCAGGAGAAAGTGGATTTGGGCGTCATATGTGGCCTGAATGCAGCTCTGGTGTTCACGAGAGGTGACCTTCAGCGGGCTAGTAACCTGTGTGTTTGTCACTTCAATTGGGGCCAAAGGTGCCTATCTTGTGTACTTGTATGGGTCACACACAGTGGCTCTCAAGTGACGAGAAGTGTCCTGGAGCATATTCTTACTACTACTTCTTAGGTGGTAAGGACTGCTCTTGCTGGGTGAGTACTGGGCTTCTTGGTATTTTGCCCACCTTTCTACATGTAGTAGGTAATGGTGTTCATAGTTGTGGTCTAAACATGGCTGT